ATTCTCCTATGTTTGTTTTGGTGTTAGCGTGAGGTCTTGAGGCTGCATCCACTTTTTGAGTCTGAAAGCAAATCAGATTTGTATTTTCAGTGTAATGTAGGTGATGTGTTCTAAGGCTCTGATGTGACGATGTGATGCAACACATTTTTTTTACATCAGCTGGCTGGAAGTGTGCAGCACTGAAGTTGGTTTTAATACTCAACTCAAGCATGCTGTCAACTCTCCAGTTTTCTTTTGTACATATATGTATAAAGAATAGACATGTGCGTGTGTGTGTGTTTGATGTTTATGTATCGTTAGTGTGTAGTTATTTAATTGCAGATCTCTACTGGGTGTAAAACAACTTTGGTATGAATGTGGTAAAAATGATTAAATGTATAAAGAACTAATTTATGTACAAATAATATATCTGTTTAGTTTTCTTTTTTGGAGTTAAGAGTAACAGTGTTTTAAGTTGTGTTTATATATGCATGTAGTCTTGTTTGGAAGTTCTAGGTTCCCATTTTTGTATGGGTCATTAGCTTTATCTGTGCTTCATTCTAGTTCGCCGGGTCCCACCAAGGTTCTCAATCCCACCCACCAACCATGAAATTATGCCTGGAGGAAGTGTTAATATCACCTGTGTTGCTGTGGGGTCACCAATGCCATATGTGAAATGGATGCTGGGGGCTGAAGATCTGACACCAGAAGATGATATGCCAATAGGAAGGAATGTCTTGGAGCTCAATGATGTTAGGCAGTCTGCTAACTATACTTGTGTGGCCATGTCCACTCTTGGTGTTATAGAAGCAATAGCACAGATAACTGTAAAAGGTATGATGCATTTAACTGAAGCTATGCATGTTTTAACTTTCCTTTTTTAAAAAAAAAAGTTGTTCAGTGGTAACCCACAATTTTATAAAGAAAAAAATTTTACTGGTTAAGTATACATGCATATAGTATTGGATGTAGTCTAAAGGCATAATCTCAATTAAATATTCTGTTTGAAGGAGTTTAGAATGAGGCCCAAGTTATTTCTGCAGATTGAAATTACTTTCTTGCCAGCTGATTACAAGACTGGCTGATAGAAGTTCCAAAAATAGGTTGGAGAAGGGTCAAAGAGAAGCCAATTTACATATCCAAAACCCAGCCAGTTAGAAAGAATCTATGATGTTGCCAGAAACCTAAGCCAGACTAAAGATAGTAAGAAGGTAGTCTTAACTTAGCTAGTTCAACCTTGGCCAGTTTGGTTAATTAGGATTGGGCTTTCTGTAAGTTTCTGAATGTCTCTACTGGAATTTTGCAGTAAGAAATAGCATACAGTAATCAATAAAAAGGAAAGGAGAAGAAGCCGGTTGCTGGCCTCCCTTCCGTTCAGGCTGCAGCCTGACCAAGAAAGTCAAACTGATTACAAAGGAACTGTTGAACCCCAAAGTTCTATTTCTGAATGCTTGGTCACTTGCTGCCAAAATATTCCTGTATGAAATTGCTGACTTGGCATATATTATGGGGACCTGGCTGAGAGAGGAGAGGTGTGTTAAGCTCTTTCTATCAAGTTATTCTATGATGCAGCAAGCTAGGACAGGAAAACTAGTGGTTGATCTGGCCATTTTCTGGAAGAATTTTGTCTCATTGACCGGAAGCTCCATTTGACACTCCACCAATCTGATTGGACAGGGCAGTCTAAGGATTCTGGGATTATACCGTCCACTGTACTGCATAATACTGAGCTAGCTGGAATGATTTCTGATGTGGCAGTGGACTACCCTAGATGTCATATTCTAGGGGATATCAGTGTCCACACAGAGGCCACCCAATCAAGAATGGCTCAGGAGTTCATGTCCACTATAGCAACCATTGATTTGTCTAATTAGTATCTGGTCCCATGCATGAAGAAAGCCATGTTTATGTTTGCCTGAAGCCAGTTATCTGAAAGCAGAGAAGCTAGCTGTAACTCCATTGTCATAACTGGTTCACTCTCTAATCAATTTTAGAGAGGTGGCTTTTATAAACCTCTACAGAGGTGGTAAACCAATTAAAATGGTATTATTCAAATACATGATGGATCCAGATGGTTTCCATTGTGCTTGAGGAAATTTATGCCTCATCTGTTTGCAAAACTGTAGAAGCCCTGCTGATGTGAGTATCACAGAGATGGACTGAGTAGCTAACTTTATCACTCCTAATAGCTGATCACTCAAGGAGAGCTCAGGTGGATTGGGAGAGGGCTGTAGCATAAGTGGGCAAACTCTTCGGATGAATTTGCCCAAACATGGAATAAATCCCTTATTTGTAATTCATGGTAATAGATGTAGCAAAGGGAGCTTACCACTCTGCCTCCATTACATTTACACTGAATAGGCTAATGAAGCTTTTCTATCAAGATACTTTGGGAGGAAATGGAAAGAGTCCCAGGCTTTCTGTGAGCAATTCTCATCGTTCTCTGCAGGCAAGGTTGATTGGATTCACTTTGACTTGAACTCCAGTTAATGGCAAGCCATAGGCAGGCAATCTTGGAACCTGCTTGTCCTGTTCATATGGGTTCTTTTCAGCTATTCTTCTTTTCTTCAGTTCTTTTGCATTATGAGGCAGTGAACAGGATATTGGGAAGGTGAGGTTCACCACCTGTTTGTTTAACCCTTGCCCTCTAAGCCAGGACAGGACTGATCCCATGTTTATTAATGCCTGTTTGGATGAAGGATGTATTCCTACTTGCTTAAAGAAGGCAAAGAAAAAGCCTTCCTGGCATTCAGAAGGTCTTTGTAATTAAATACCCATATGTAATCTTCTATTCCTAAATAAGGTGACTGAAAAATGGTGGCCTTGCAACTCCAGATGCATCTGGATGAAACTGATTACCCAGACCTATTTCAATCAGGGTTTTGCCTGGTATTTTGAAGGTCTGTCTTTCTTCTATGAACCTGCCCAGAGACATAGATCTGCGAGACAGGCCATTCTGAGGACCTGCCTCCCCCCCCCCCCCACTGCCAGAAGCTCATATCCAATACATAGTAGTGGCCTTTTCTTGTGTGGCCACCAGATTGTGGAATGCACAGTTCATTGTAGTGTCTTGGCTTAGGAAAAAAGCAAAAGCCTGTCTTTTTCACCAAACCTTTAATTGTTGGTTGAAGTTTGGCTTGAATGATATTGATGTATGTTTCTTTGATTTTATTTTCATTCCTGTGATTTATCATTTGTATTTTAATTACTATAAGCTACTTTGAATGTGATATATAAAACAAATAAGTGCTCAAAGTCCAAAGCATGAAAATCACACAGTCAGAATCTAGGAAAAAAGGAACCAAGACATAAATCAGAATTGTAAACATAGAAAAAAACATTCTAAGATAGCAGAAGTATCAGGAACAAATATTTTGACTATTAATATGCAGATGTCCTCACTTTTGTGGGGTATTCCAGATTTTTCTAACTCAGCTCAGTTAGAAGCTTGTTGGGATCCTGGTCAGCCAGTTTTGGGGGCTTTTCCTACAGTTCAGTCATGTTCTCACAATTAGAATTATGCATTCTTTGAAACAGCAAGGCATTCTGAGTGGGCTTTTTATTTTCTGTAGCCAACAGAGTCATGCTAGTTGCCCTGAGTATCCATTCAAATTACTAATCCATTGATTAGTATCCATTGAAATTAACCACCTTGGTTATGATCTAAGTCTTGTTTATTGTTTCCAGTAGGAAATAAGTGTAACCAAATTGAAACCTGGGTTTGTTCCATAAATACTTAGCCTACATTATTTCTTCCTTTTCTCTGATGCCCTACCTCTTCTTCTCTATTATATGCCCCTCTCCTATAAAATTCAGTAAATGAGGCCCATTAAAACACATTTAGACTCATTAAGTTTAACATTAGAAACATTTAATGCTTTTTAAATAATTAGTTTTTCTTTCTGGCAGATACTGAATAAGCTCTTAATATTTTTTGTTTTTTATATATTTTCAGTAGATTTTTCCTGTTCTCCAAAAACTACTGATTCCCTGAGTTATTTTTATGCTTCTGTTATATAATTATTCACGAAGTTCTACATTTTTTTCAGTTGAATAAATTTCATTATATTTTTCTAGCATTACCCAAACCTCCAGGAATTCCTGTTGTGACCGAAAGCACAGCAACAAGCATTACTTTGACCTGGGATTCTGGAAACCCTGAGCCGGTGTCTTACTACATAATCCAGCATAAACCTAAGAGTTCTGAGGAATTATATAAAGAAATTGATGGAGTAGCCACCACAAGATACAGTGTGGCTGGCTTAAGCCCATATTCTGAATATGAGTTCAGAGTAGTTGCTGTGAATAACATAGGAAGGGGTCCACCCAGTGAACCTGTGACAACACGGACCTCAGAGCAAGCACCATCTAGTGCACCACGTAATGTACAGGCTCGTATGTTGAGCTCAACCACCATTTTAGTGCAGTGGGAAGAACCTGAGGAACCAAATGGTCAAATACAAGGCTACAGAGTGTACTATACCATGGATCCTTCCCAGCATGTCAACAGCTGGTTAAAACATAATGTGGCTGACAGCCATATCACCACCATTGGGAATCTTGTACCGCAGAAAACTTACTCAGTGAAAGTTCTTGCTTTTACCTCGGTTGGAGATGGACCACTTTCTAGCGATATACAAGTCATCACTCAGACAGGAGGTAAGATGGAACTTACAGTAATCTCTTCCAGTCAGTTTTACTATGGGGTGAGAATTGTTCTAGGCAATAAGATTAAAGATGGTTGGTAGCTCTTTGTACTGGTCAAATACAGAAATCCACCAAGTTAAACTGAGAATATTAGATTTTCTGAGTACCCATCATGTATATCTAATAATGCATAATTCTGAATTTTTTGCAAATGTGTGCACTGCCTTTCAGAGTTTTTATGTCATTAACATTTTCTGAAATATTGGTCTTACATTTATGTTGTTTTTAGAAGATTTTCTGGAGAAATTGTTGCCACGGTTGTATTCAGTTCTTTCAATGTGTTAATCTTGTCTGTATTGTTGCTTTTGTTTTACCTTTACACATATTTCCAAATATGAATATACTTCAAAGTTTGTCCTTTCATTTCCTCTTATTCTTTCCTGCCCTAATTATGTAAATAACTGTTGAAATTTTCCTCTTTTCAGGAGCTTCTTTTTTTCCTTCTTTTGCCTGAATAATGTAAGATAAATAAGCAATCCAATGAAAAATATAAATCATATACCAGATTCCCCAAATCTTGTAGTAAATAACTCTTCTAAGCACATTCTACTATGAAGTTGCACTTCTCTGTAAATTATGTACATAATTTTATTTTAAG